TGGATACACTATTGTTAACCAAAAATATGAATACACCAATATATTATAATACGAATACGTTGTTGTTAAATAAGAAAATGGAAAAACAATAGAATGTCTATGTATCAAAGTGTGTAAGTATTCGACTATATAAAAAACTAAAAAAAACCAACAAAACGTCGATATATTTTTTGTAAAATTTTCTATAATACTTGAGGCTTGACGTTAACTTAGGTATTTATTTATAGTTAACTTAGGCTTGACGTTAACTATACTTGTATTGCCTAATCAAATTGGATAAATTACTTGTGTATCCAAATATAATATTTATATTCACAAATCATCATTTTATTAATATTACAATACAATTATCTATGTATATAAGTATTATTAAATATAGACATTTGACATTTGGTTGAACCACAAATATAAGTATAAATATACGTATAATGAATTGAACCACTAAAATCACTCCTACAATCATATAAAAGGAACTTGAATTGGAAGGAATTGTGGGGGTGGGGGGGGATGGGGAGGGGGGGGGGGAATACAAAAAAATCTGTAATATAAGAAAATTGATGAAAGAGAAGGTATGAATACATAATTAATTATGAGTTTAATAATAATTTTTCTATTTATTAATTGTTAATATTAAATATAAAAAAAATTGATTATTGATATACAATTAAATTTGTTGTTTATTGTACAGTTATAGTCATATAGCATAAAAAAAATTAAATTATAGCTATATTATTTAAATGTATATTAAAGTTTGTCATATTATGTAATTTTTCCAATAAGATCTACATTTATTAAAAATGATTTTAAAATATTCTTCTTCTATTTTCTTTTATTTAGAAATCTTTCATTTTTATTTTTAACTTAATAATATCCTCCTTGCATCATTTGATCTAAAAGTATATCCAACCCACATTTAATTTATTTCTTTTATTACTTCTAAAATATAATTTTTATTTATTCAAATTATTAATATTAGTTCATCCCAAAATATTTAAATTATTTTATTCTAACGTAAAGAATCTTCTACTGTGTTAAATAATCAAATTCTTCAATCATCAAATAAAAAGTAAAGTTGCGAAATATACACAACATAGAGACCATTTTATCATTAAAAATATCTTACTCAAAGAAGTAAAAAATCATTAATCTATATATCGTATTAGATCTCCACTGTATTCTCAATTATTTTATATTACAACTTTATAATTACTAAGTAATTTTTACCCCTAAAATTAAAACGATTGAAACAAGGGAAAAGGGTTAAAAATACCTCTCAACTTTGTTTTATTGGTTAATTATGCCCTTGTCGTTAAAACGAAGTTAGTTTTACCCCTATCGTCTGCAAACTTATCATTTATACCCTCCAAACTAACGATTTGTCCCAAATCAAACTTAAATTCCCAATTTCGACCCGAATTACCCATTTAAAATTCATTTAGGAAATTCTTTTCTAATCCAACCCATATAAAATCCGCCATCATTATAAACAAAATCGAATTTAATTTTCAATTTTCTCAATCTTGTTAAGTCAACAAAAATAAAAAAGAATGGATTTCTCCCTTGCTATTGGATATGTTATAGTTGCTGCTCCATATGTAATGTCTTCAAAACCATTATTAAAAGCTTCTAAGGGTATTAGTTGTTGAATTAGAGCTCAGAAACTTGAAGAACCAACCATGGAAACTTCATAGTCATTAATGGAGCTTGGATATTGAGTTTAAAATTTGAAGGCGAAAATGGTCTGGTGGACCCTTGTACTTATATCAGTTTGTATTATGAACTCTTTTACTTATCTATTTGTCATCTGGACCCTTAGACTCAATAAAACACAATATATCGGACCCTTCTGACCATTGACCATGCTTATGGGGCTTTAAGATGGCTGAGTTGGCGAGAGTGTGTGATTTCACACTCCTTAAGGCTAGTGAGTTCTATATTCAATTTTAAAAATATTAATAAAAAAATAAAATAATACCAAAATTTAAAAAAAAAAAAAAAAGACCACATCTTCTTCACCATATTCCACCTTCAACACCAATTATTCCATGCCCAATTCTTTCTTTTTTCTTTCTATACTCTTGTAATCAGATCTTGGCATTGAAACCTTCTTGTCTCCATTGATTCGCCTCTAAAGGGAGAGGCCGATATTAGTGGTGCTCGTCAGAGAAAGTGCGACGGCGATGGCTAGGTTGGAGGATCTAGTTACAACATTGAAGAGATTTCGGCCAAATCTGGTGGTATGGCGTTGATGGACGACGGCGGCAGTGTCATGATGGTGTGGCAGCTACGGTCAGATTTGGCGGCGACGGCTAGATCTGGTGGTGTGGCGGTGGCATCTTCAAAATATTTTTTTCTTTAGCTATCAATACGGTGTCTTTTATTTAGTTTTTGCTTCTCATTTTTACAAATTTGTAACGTATAAATTTGATAATTTTGATGGTAAAAAATAATTATTAAATCAATATTTGGATATATTGAAATATTTTAATGGTGATAAAGTTTGCATTAATGGAGAAAAGAGGTTTATGAAGTTTCAAGTGATGAACAAAGTTTTACAAAAAATTATAACTGAAATTTATGAATGATGAAAACATAAAAAATAATGGTGATTTTTGTGATATAGGAAAGTGGTGATAATAGTGAAGATGATGATTGTAGTGCTGATATCTAATGTAAAAATTGAGACATGGTTAAAGAAGAATGAAAGAGGAAAGAAGTGAAAATAATTTTTTTTTCAATAAAAATAAATAATTAATGATGTGTCATTTAAAATCTGACGTGGATGACGACGTGTCACTTTTATTGAGCGATTGAAGTTCACACAAAGCCAAGGATGTTTAAAATGTTGAGTTTCGTTGAGTCTAAGGGCTCAGTTGACAAATAGTTAAGTAAAAGGGTTCAGAGTACAAACGATGCACCAGACTATTCCGCTAAATTTTAAATTTCGAAAATCAATAACTTCAACTTCTTTCCCAAAACACACAAATCGACAACAGAACACCCATTTCTTCACAACTGAAATTACAGATCTGAATTTGTGTAATTAGAGGATTTCCCATCCAAAATTGCAGCAACATGAACATTTTAGTTTTTTTTTGTTGTTGTCGTTGTTTAATGGTGGAATTTGAACACCTCCATTTTTGCTATCGTGTGCGGCGGATTTGAAGAATCAGACCAGTGACTTTTGGGGAAGATGGTTATTGGATTATTTCAATAACAATATTGTTCTTATTTTTGTGCATGAACACAAGCTTGGCATGTCTTCATCCTCTGTTTTTTCTTCCAATAGTACTTCTTAAAAGTTCATTAATGGCTGAAAATTCATTTGTTCATTAGGAATTGAAATGGGTTTTGGTGAATTTATTACTTTCTTTTTATACATTTGGCATGTAAGACCAGATTAAACGGGTTATGGGTCGAATTTTATTGATAATTTATTTGAAATGAGTAATTCGGGTTAAAATTGAAAATTTGAGTTTGATTTGGGGCAAATCGTTAATTTCGATAGTAATAATGATAAGTGTGCAAACTGCAGGGGTAAAACTAACTTCGTTTTAACGGTAAGAGTAATCAACCAATAAAACAAAGTTGAGGGGTATTTTTGATCATTTTCCCTTGAAATAATGCCTTTCAAAGACTTTTCCCTGATCTAGAAAGTAGAAAGCAAAACTTCAAACACTCGAAACAACTATTACAATTTTTTTTGTCAGTTTAAAAAAAATGATCTATTTATTTTTTGATAACATTTTAATTTCAGTTTTACACATAGCATGCTTAAGGTTGTAAGATTAAAGGACAAATTTATACATTTTACATAATTTTAAAATAGGACCCAAAAATTTAGAAGTCTTTTTTAGTTTCTTAACACTTCGTGCCTAATCAAAGTAGATCATTATTTTTCTTAGGAAAAAGGGTCTGATATACCCCTCAACTTTGTCATTTAGAGCTGATATAGCCCTTGTTATGAAAGTGGCTCATATATACCCTACTTGTAAACAAATAGCTCACATATATCTTTTTCCTCTAACGGAAATGAAAAAAAAATAATTTTAATCTAAATTTTTATTAATTTTTTCTAAAAAATATAATCTCATATGAGTAAATTTAATCTTCGTCAAACATATTTTTTTTGACTTTTTTTTGTTTGAATGACTAATTTATAATTATTATTTTGATAATCAAATTTATTTATGTTTCACTAATATTCTTGTAAAACTTATTGTAGATGACCAAATTTTTTCTTCGAATACGAAATTAAATTACAATACACACAAAAAAAATAGTTTAATTTTTTTTCTTTAAACTAAGGAATGAAAGGAAAAAATAAAATAAGAATAAGAAACTCAAATAATTATAATAAAAGAAGTCAAAAAATAATTTATGGATGAAGAAAATTAAAATATATCTTGAACTTTGATAGAAGAATCATATATACCCCTAAATAATTTTTTTAAAAAAATTAGAAGTAATAAATATAAATTTAAAACTAATTTTTTAACTTCCGTTTAAATGAAGTATGTATGTGAGCCCTTTTTTAACGGCAGAGATATATGTAAGCCGTTTGTATAATGGTAAGGACATATATGAGCTTTTATAAGAAGGAGTATATCAACTCTAAATGACAAAGTTGGGAGTATATCCAACCATTTTTCCCTTTTTCTTAACAAAAAGAGTATTAACTACTTGTAATAAAAAGTGCCTAGGTTTACAAGTTACTCTCGAATAAAAGAATCACATATACATAATCAAATCAAGAACCAAAGCAACAACCATTCCTTAGAAACATGTTGTGTTTCTTAAATCTCACGAAGCACTCCTCATAATGGATGTTATTTTCAAGAATAAATTTTGTATTTGTGCGAATAGCATCCAACATGATAACATCAATGTGGTGTATTCATATAATAATGGTGATAATCAATTTTTTTTTCTCATCTTCTTCCTCCAAAACTCATCAAAAGAAATTCAATCTAATTTGGATGAATTATAAAAATGAATGCAAATGAATTGAACAATATAAGATTGATTGCGTATTTACATTAAATAACGCTTAATGAATGAAATTATTAAAGATAAAAGATCCAAAGAGACACATAATTATAATCCTAATTCACCTCAGACTTAGTCAGGTGCATATTCATCAAATACTTATAATCCAAAATTATATCATTACAAGCTGAGACAAGGGTGACAATGGTGGCACCTCAAAAATACCTGTTCCATCCCAAATCGTCGACCAATTTGACGGTGTTAATGGAGATGCCATTGGCACTACTCTTTCTTCTTGTAATTTTCTTTCTTTTTTGATTACCAATTCCTCTGTTTCTCCTCTCATTCTTTTACTGCCTGATGACTTCATCTCTGTTTTAGTCTCATCATTTTGTTGCTTAAAGTTTGCAACTTCGAGTGGGAAATTCAATATTGCTTTGCTTCCTCTAAGCTTAAACGCTGCCCTGTCATATGCCTTAGCTGCATCCACAGCAGTATCGAATGTTCCTAACCAAACTCGAGTCCCCTTTCTATTTGGGTCACGGATCTCCGCTGCAAACTTCCCCCATGGCCTCTGTCTAACTCCCCTGTAATGCTTCTTCTTCTCACTCTCAACATTCTCTACAACAACAATTGGCTTCGCGGGTATCGCAATGTTCAGAGATGGCTTCCGTTCTCTCAAGTTACTCTGTTTCGGAGAATTTGAACTGATAACATGTGGTTTTGCCTCAAATTTGAAAAAACCATCGTACTCTGTTTTTGAGGTATGATCAAGATTTGAAGTTTGAAAAGAGAAACAAGATTTAGAGCAGTAATATTCCATGAAAGCAACATCATCATCAAGAAGATGTTCCCTAATGGAATCAAGTGAAGTATAAATCTCTTGTGGAGAGCCCATTTTTCTTCCACTAATCAACCAAAGAGAATAATTTGTGTTGGAGAAGTCAACTATTTATGTTAACACTTCAAAGTTGAAGAGAAAATTGAGTGGAAAAGAGAGTGTGTGGAGGATGGGTTATAAAGAGGAGAAATGAAGAGATGAGGTTTCTTAGGAGGCTTCTCAGGTGGAGAGAGGAAGCATCCTCAGCCCTAATCCAAAATCTTAGTCCCTCGCATTATTTATCGGGAGTTAAAAAAAAAAATCCGCTCTTGTGTCTCAAGTTCACGTTAGAGTTTCGGTTAAATTCAGATTGCTTATTCACTATTTGAGGGTGATCTTATCAACAAAATTTTCTTCATACTCAGGACTCGAATTCGAGATAACTGATTAAGGATGAAATATTTCCTCTAATGCAGCACAACCCATGTTGATATTGGGTGTTTAAAATTAGTTTTGAATAGTTTTACTATTAAGTCAATTCTTCTTCTGTTTTAATATTTTGTTTCGACAAACAAATAGTTTAAATTTGATTGTGAAAATCTATATATTTGTTAACTAAATAAAAAATATATATTTTTTGATGTTATAATTCAACTCCAATTTCAATAAAAGAATGTTTTTTTAAAAAAAAAATTAATTTTTAATTTTTCACAAAATATGTTTAAAACTAAAGATGGACGACATTTACGTACATTGTTATAGTACATTTTAGGATCATGAAAATACTCGTCATAATTTTCTTTTTGAGCGTCAATTAAAATAAATTTTAACAATATTTTAAGAAGTATTTTTTTCATTGATATGAGAAAATTCAAATTCATACTATTTTTCCGTATTTTTTTTTAATATCTGCATTTTTTGCTTCAAAATAACAAATTAATTTAATCTAAGTTAGTCTTGAAAATTAATCAAATTAATTTTTAAAATATAAAACGTGATAATTATTTTGAAATTTGGGAAATATTAAAATACATTTAAAGATTGCTGTTTCAAACAAAACAAAGTGATGAAATGTGCTATTTTGGTCATTTTGTTAGCTTATTGTAATTAATTTCTAAGTAATTTAATTGCATAAATTTATTTTCCACAATGTCAATTAATGCATATCTTATAACTTTTGAAAAAACATTTATACATAACTATACTCTCTTTATTTTATATTAATTAAAATTTTTCTATTCTAGAGGTATTTTATGTACTTTAAGAAAAAAATTGAGTTATAACTTAGGTAAAGTTTTTCATTTCCGGTTATTAATTATTGTTAAAATTTATAATTAAAATAATTAAACATTAATTAATAAATAATTTTAGTACTAATTAATGAAGGGTGAAATTAAAAAAAAATCTAAATGTGATCTTACAAATTGAACAAATAAATAAATTTAAAAATAAAAAAATATCTCAATTATTTAATTAATTTGAAATAAAGAGAGTATAATATAATAATGACATAACACATATGTTGGACCTAAATTTGACTTAAAATTTTAACTTTAATCTTCAACTTTCATAATGTACAAACAGATACTTTAACTATTTAACTTTTAAATAAATAAGCACGTGACTCCTACATGACATAATACACGTAGAACACTACGCGGGATAAAAAATGTCATGTAGGATGACATGTAAGACATGTGTGTCTATTTGTTCAACTTTATACAAGTTTATGTGTCTACTTGTGCACATACAAAATTAAAGTGTATAAATATGATTTAAAGCTAAATTTAAAAAATATATTTATGTGTTATGTCTATAATAATCTAACTTAACAGATTATTTACTATTTATTACAGGTTATCAATCAATGATACCAACTATCATTATTTTTAAATGAAACTAATTCATTTGTAAGAAAATATTATAAATTATCATTGCACGTAATTTTAACTTTTTTTATTTTATAAGAAACAGGAAGCTGCAATCAAACAAAAAACATAACACGTTGAAATGACCAAAGGCAAAAAGAACCGCATCAGTTGACTTAGAGCCTGTTTGGCTCAGCTTAAAAGCTGATCAAACTGACTTAAAAGCTGGTTTTTGACTTATTTAGCTATTTGACAATACTCAAAACAACTTATTTTAAGTTAAAAAAAACTTATTTTAAGCCAAAAGTTAAAAGCTGGGATAGGAGTGTTTTTTTTTTTTAGCTTATAAGCTATTTTAAGTTGACCACATTTTTATCTTTTTGTGCTTAATATTTTTATACAATCTCCAAATTACCCATATAACCCTAACATTTCTTTCTTCCATTTTTCCCTTTTCAGGTTTGACATAACAACTTCAGCACTTTTATCCAAACGCATAACTGCTTATTTTAAAAATAAGTTTCAACACTTTTAAAAGTATTTTTTTAAAGCTGCTGTTATTAAGCCCATCCAAATAGGCCCTTAATTGTTCCTCTCAAACCTACTTTTCAACGGCATTAACGCTTTGTAATATTTAAAACAATATATAATGTAGGAGATAATACAAATAATAATATAGGTCACGTACCATTCTTGTTTGTCCATAACATTAATCTATAAAATTATTAGTTATTTCTTTTATTTAAATTGAAATTAATTAATAATTCATTTATTTATTGATAAATTACACAAAAAATACTTATCAAATTAAATTTATTTTTTTATTCAAAATAACTCAATCATCATTAATAACTCAAAGATATCATTCGGCTCTATTTATGAACAACAAAGTACTCCCTTCGTTCGGTATTGTTTGTCATGATTTTTATTTTTAGATTTAAATTATAAAAACTTTGACTAACATTTTAAGATGCATTTTTTCATCATATTAATATGTAAAAAATTGTAATTTATAGTACTTTTCATCTAGTTTTAGAATATTTAATTTTTTTTGTTTAAAACATCGAATTAATGTAATCTAATTTATCTTTAAAAATTAATCAAAAAGACTTTCGAATTTCGATAAGCAGAACATGACGAACATTTCTGAACGAAGGGAGCATAATTTTGGTTGCCTTCTTTTCTTCTTTCTCCTCCTTGTTCTTCCTTCCATCGTTCTTCTTCTTGAGCTCATATTTAAAATTTTGAATATTTTAGAGGAGGTTTTGAGTTGGCCCACATTAAAAGAATCAACGTTCGATCATTAAAGCTTATTTCAAATTTTGATATTATCAAGCTTTAACATCAAAAGAAGCTCCTATCTTAAATTTTGAGATGCTTAAAAGAAATATGAGTTGTACGGGATTTAAAAAAAACTTAAAAATTTATACATATTGTATAATCAATGTATATAAATGTTATTTGTAGTTTTGATGATTTGACAAACTTGGGGACCTTGTAAAGGTACAGTTTCTTACTTGAGTATTGCAGGGTTCTTGCTTGAGTATTGCAGATGAAACAAACTCAGGGACCTAGTAGAGGTACCAGACTCTCATGATGAAGAGCCAGTTGATTGCCAGCTGGAGACGGTACAGAAAGTAGGTGCACACTTCCCGATGGCGTCAGAAAGTGTGACTTTTCCAGCCAATGGCAAAGAGGTTTAGGAAAGTGACTTGCCCATATAAAAGGCACTTTCCTAAACATTTTGAGTAGTTTTTGCAACTTGAGAGAAACCTCTTCAAGAACATTTGCAAAGGCTGCAAGAAAACAAAGGCAGAAGTATTCCAACAACAACAACAATCTCTGGAGCTTTTCGTATAGTTGTTTAGGAATACATTCTCTTGTTCGCAAACTGTAAATCATTCCTCAATCTATAAAGGAATTTTTGTGTAGTGTTAAAAGTCTAGGTTGTCCAAGTGGGATAACTTAGTGAGTAGATAGTTTTCTACTTAGGCTTGTTAAGCAAGAGGGACTATTGCTTAACTGTAAGATTGAAAAATCTTTCTTACATTTGGTGTAATCGTGTTTTACTTTTGCTTTTGAAGATTAGTGAAAAACGATTGAAAATCCTGTGAGACAGGTCGTGGTTTTACTCCCTTAAGCAAGGAGGTTTCCACGTAAAATCATTGTGTTGATTTTACTGCATTTAAATTTCTGTTTTATTCATTAGTGTAGTAAGGGACTTGGTCCATTACTTGTTAAGTGAAGGCATATATTCTATCAAGTGGTATCAGAGCAGACACTATCTATTTGGTTAACACCAAGGAAGTGATATTTGCTCTAGAATGACATCTCCACTTAACCTCGAAGAACGTCAGTCGTCAAACAGACCTCCTCGTTTCAATGGACATTTCTACAGTTGGTGGAAAGTTAGAATGCACGATTACCTAATGGCTGAAGACAGTGAGTTATGGGATATTGTACTGGATGGACCATTTGTTCTGACGATGGAAGAAAAGGATGGATAGAAGACTATTCTTGTTCCAAAGCCTAGGCAGAAATATGACGAAGCTGACAGGAAAAAGATTGAAAAAGGTTTCAAAGCTAAAACTCTTCTTGTCTGTGGGATAGGACCTGATGAGTACAACAGAGTGTCAGCCTGTGAGTCTACTAAGGAAATTTGGGACTGCTTGAAGACTGCACATGAAGGAACTGAACAAGTCAAAGAATCTAAGATTGACATGCTCACCTCACAATATGAGAACTTCAAAATGAAGGAAGGAGAAACAATACATGACATGTTCACCAAGTTGTCTTCCATTACAAATGAGCTGCGAAGTCTGGGTGAACCTATAAGAATGACCAAACAATTCAGAAAAGTGCTTCGAATTCTTCCAAAGTCTTGGGAGATCAAGATTGATGCCATTACAGAAGCCAAGGATTTGAAGGTGCTGACTATGGATGCTTTGATTGGTAATCTGAAGACACATGAGATGAATCGAAATTACGATTTATCAAAGAAGGAAGCCAAGAAGGACAAGTCATTGATGCTGAAGTACAAATTAGATGAAGATCCCAGTGATGATGATATGACATATCTCATCAGTAGATTTCAAAAAATTGTGAGAAAAAACAAATTTTATAAAAGAGGATCAAATGATACTCGAAATGCTGCTCAAGGTGATACTTGCTACAAGTGTGAAAAAGCTGGGCACTTCATCAGAGAGTGTCCTTTGCTCAAGAATGAAAGCAAGGAACATCAAAAACCAAGAAGTGACAAAGAG